CGATGTAAATGTGTGTTTTTTTCTCGTGTTCACATAACTTCATAAACATCCCAGCACTCTCTCATATCTCCCCCCCCCCATTCCTAATAAAAATGGTTTCTCCTGCACTTTTTTTTTGGGGGGGGGAGTGAAATTTCTTCATAACAAAGCCTTTGCTCTGTAATCTGAACTGAGTTTTTTGCTTTGGTGACTTCCAGCATACCCTCAAGCCCACCAACACCCCCCCCCCTCTCTGGTCCGGTCTCTGCCTCTCTCTCCAGCCTGAGCCAGGATCATGTCCTCCTCTTCAATATTGATCAGAGTCCAGCCTGAGCTGGGATCAAGCCAATAAAGGTGCAAATAAATTATCGTTTGTGTTTCAGTTACTGTGCTTTAAACATGAGTAAATGGAGCCACTCTCATATAAAGAAGGCAGAGTGACTGAGGCTGCTGAAATGTTCCAACGCTTCAACACATGTGCAAAAAAAAAAAAAGCAAAAACCCCCACCCCAACCTGGAGCAGATGGAACTCCTGAGGGGAAGTCTGAATGGACTGTGCTGATGGCACGATAATCAGAAATGGCACAATGTGCACAAAAACACGAAAGGCAGCTGCAGTCTGAAAAATGCCAATGATATTTCCATTGTTCTTTTCCTGGGGAGCGAGTGGAGAAAATAACCAGTCTTTCTGCAGACTCATCGAGGACATTCAGAAGGTCTCAGTCAAGGTACAAAAGGCTGGGATTCTGTCACCTTGGATTTCACACAGATGCAGTCAACACGTTTTTCCGAAGCTTTTACCAAGAGGACTAGAAACATTTTTAAAAGAGCCCATCAGTGCTCAGGAGATAAGTCAGACCCCCAGCTCAGATTCTGTACAGATGCTTCAACACGTGCAAAAAAAAAAAGCAAAAAACCCCACCCCAACCTGGAGCAAATGGAACTCCTGAGGGGGAAGTCTGAATGGATTGTGCTGATGGCACGATCACCAGAAGTGGCACAATATGCACAAGAATACGAAAGGCAGCTGCAGTCTGAAAAATGCCAATGATATTTCCATTGTTCTTTTCTTGGGGAGCGAGTGGGGAAAATAACCAGTCTTTCTGCAGACTCATAGAGGACATTCAGAAGGTCTCAGTCAAGGTACAAAAGGCTGGGATTCTGTCTCCTTGGATTTCAAACAGATGCGGTCAACACATTTTTTCCAAGTTTTTACCGAGAGGACTAGAAACATTTTTAAAAGAGCACATCAGTGCTCAGGAGGTACGTCAGACCCCCAGCTCAGATTCTGTACAGAAAGGCTTGGTCACACTGAATGTGTGTCACACAATTTACAGGAAAACAAGTTGTTATGCAATGTGCATAGCAGTTCTCACTAGCAAAAGAAGAAGAGGCATTTCTAAGCCAGGTGGGAAATCTCATGAAAACAAAATCAACAGAGCATCATATCAAAAGTAAAAACAAACTGACTGCATCTATGCCAACAATTTCCAGACTATTTCAAATATGCCCACTGATGTACTTTAATCACATTTGTAAACGGAAATGAGGGACTTGGAAATTCCTAGGTTGAGTTGACAATGAGCCATTTAGCAGCCGATCAAAGCCAGCAATAATCCAGGCTGCCTCTTTGGAATTTCCACGAAGACATACCAAGTCCTACGCATGCATAGTTGGAAGTGAGTATATACCACTCAGCACAAAGTAAATATGTACGGCGTTGTCTCCTTTCAAAGGCAGTATTACAAAGTCAAGAGTTTGAAAACTGCAGGCACTGCGGAAAGAGCTCCCTCAGACAGATTTGCTCCACTCAAGGCACGAGAAGACTCTGCTGCCTCCTTATCTCCATGTGACAGTTGTGGGATCTGTCTCCTGGATCCACCTCCGTCAATGCAATGAGGGATTCTCAGTTGTGATGGGAACTATACAATTTTCCTCATAGCTCTTGGGGTGCTTGTAGGACCGGCCCTATGCTGACATACAGGGCTATTTTTGGGCAGGAACCCAGTGTTTGGACGCTTATTAACCTTTTCACTATGTATACTTACCTTTCTCTTCCTGATTTACTGCAATATAGGTTTTATGTCTTTGCAATGTCCTGCTTTGTTAGATGCTTGGAGTTAAAGGAAATAAAATGGAATACAAATGCTTTCAATAAATCACTGAAACCACTAACATGTAAAAGTTGGGGGGAAATTATGTGTTCTTTCCATGGGTTGGATTTCATAGAATCATAGAGTTGGAAGGTACTTCCAGGGTCATCTAGTCCAACCCCCTGCACAATGCAGGAAATTCACAAATGCCTCCCCCAACACACCCCCAGTGACCCCTGCTCCACACCCAGAAGATGACAAAAAAACCCAACCCTCCAGAATCTCTGGCCAAATGTAGAGGTGCTTTCCTTCAGTTGAAGGAGTCTTTCCTTGATGCAAGAAGTGTGCTGCATTAGCTTCTGGCAAGAGAAGTGTTACCGCTAGCAGAATGCATCTACAGGATCCAAGCCTGCATTTGTTTCTAATTCTCACTTTAAAAACTAATTTGAAGTATGTGAGTCGGCATAGGGAGCTATTGGTGCTCATTGGTAGCATACAAAGCATAGCTTGCATCCTATGCCTGTTCACCTGCTAACACCCTTTTGCTTCTAAAGTGCTGGCTGTCAAAAAATGTTATTCCTGAGAACCCACAAGCATTGTCTGTAATCATATGGCAAAGGTGGGGAGGTGTTTGGTTAATAACTTTTCTTGCTCCCCTGCCAAATCCTGTAATAAACTTTGTTCCCAATCAATATTTGCTCTAGTCATTAGCTATATAGTTATCATCAACACTTTTCTGATTGCTGGGACATTCTTATTTGCACTAGGAGTTGTCTGTTTCTAAGTTACTATGCCACTGCAATCTTGTCAGTCTAAAGAGGACTATAAATAAGCCTGTTGAAAAATCAGCAACCTGTAGAAAACCACAAGCGAGGCATCCACCACCATTTGTTCTTGTGACATTGTGCAAGGCAGCTTCAAGGCAGAGCCCTAATCCTGCTAAAGTGTGAAGGAAATCTCTGATTGGCAGAACCATCCTAAGCAGATTTATACCCTTCTAAGTTCATTAAAGTCAATGTGATAGTTGGAAGGGTATAACCAGGGCCAGCCCGAGGTTTTTCGGTGCCCTAGGTGAAACTAGCACCCCCCACAGGCGAGGCTGTCTTGTGGTGCCCCCCCTCACCATGTGTCTCCCCCACGCTCCCGTGTGCCTCTCCAATGCTCAAGCCGGGTGCTAAGCTGGGCACATTGGGTGGGGGGGCTACAAGGCTCTTCCGGGTGCAGCCTTTCTGCTTTTTCTTCCCCCCCGCCTGCTTCCCCCGTCTCTCCTTCCCCCATCCACATGTGCTCTGTCCCCTCACTCCCCACAGGGGCAGCACCAAGAAGACTCACCAAGGGTGGTGTGGAGGAGTTGTCCGGTCTGAGCAGGCCCGAGGAGGAAGCAGTGACGGGTCTGCTCCAGCCCCCTCTATGCACCATGCATGCCTACCTGAGCCGCCCTGCCGCTGGGCCCTTCAGGCAGCACCGTCCACCTTCTACCCGCCCTGCAGGCCACCTGCACCTCAGGACAGGCCCCGAGCGCAGCGGGGGGGGCTTCCTCCCTCCTCGCTTCCTTCCCCGCCCGCTTCTGGGTGCACTGGGTGCCGGACTCGGGGTGAAAGATGCAGCAGAGGTGGAGGCAGCGGTCCCCCGGTCAGGGACTAGATGCATGCAGGGCTTTTGGCGGGCGGGGGGGCGGGAGCAGTTTGGCACCCCTAAGGGCCGACCCGTTCTAGGTGAATGCTTAGTTTGCCTAGTGAGCGAGCCGGCCCTGGGTGTAACTCTGCTCAGAAATGCACTTTGGGTCTTTAAAGTGGTGGGTGGGGAGCAAACTAGATTGATGGAACACTATTGGCAGTGATTTTTATCTCCCCCCCCTTAACCAGTGTTCCCTCTAAGCTGAGTTAGTGTGAGCTAGCTCAGTTTTTTAGCC